GTTTATGCATGCAATTTAAAGTACTTATTTATTACTCAAATTGAATTTTTTTGTCTAATTGTCGTTTGTTACAAATTCTATTTATTTAGTGCCTAATTGTCTACAATTATTATTATTTTTTGTAACATATAATAATAATATTCAAATAAAACATACAGCAGTTACTATACTAATTACAAATTTAAAAATTGGTTGTATAAGCAAACAAGAATTAAACCATCATAACCTATTCTAGATACGAGACCTGTGTTAATAGTATAATGAAGATTCTCCGTTATTTGTTATGTATATATTTGAATTGTGGTATTCCATATTATGACGGGCCATGGAATAACAGCGAGCTATGTAATTAGCACAGTCCTCAGACGTTGAGTCATGGACTTTTTTAGAATAGAATAGATATTTATTGCAATGTCACAACACATAGATACAAAAAAAGTATCGATAACACTTAGACATGCAAAACAAAATAAATATAATTAATAAACAAAAATAAAAAACAAAACAAAAGATAAAAAGCAAAAAACAAAATATAACAACTACAAATGTTGTACCGTCATTTATGCGGTTGTGGCCTATGCAAAAGGACTTCATTCAGCATAACGATGCCTTACATTTTCAAACTCGTATCTTATAAAGAGTGAAAATTCAGGAGATGGCAAAAGTTTTTATTTATTTCAAATTTGTTATCAAGGTTGTTAATTTGGTTGCATCACTTTAAGAATAGGTAAAAGACAGTGTGTGAATATGAAGAAAATGTAACGAGAAATCAGTTTGCAAAATTTGTATACAATGTGTTGATTTGCATTCTCGCCTTTATACAGAGGTCCATTCTATATCCGAAACTGAACCAAATCACTAAAAAAATAAATAAATTTAAAAAAATCCTAAGTTCTTATTTTTTATTTAATTGCGGTAACCATGCTAGATCCAAAGGTTTGCACTTGCATTGCACGTGCTACAGGTACCGGCAACAATTTGAACAACGATCTATGTGCAGTATATATGCATTTTAGATCTATTTGGTGGCAGGGTACGAGTAGAGACGGGGGGGAGTATCGTATCGAGCGCGGGATTGGCAGATCATCAATCGACCATGCGTATTGCGTCTACGTTCCGCTGACTGTAATTAATTAAAAAATTTAAAAAATAGATGTAAACAAGAGTTAGTGCAAAAAAACCGCTAATATTTGCATTACCATCAAGTACGTTCTTATGGCATGATGTGAAACGTTTAGTTTACTCAGATTACGAGTGTCGAAGAATTGAGCGCAAAAATTGTCTCTGGTTTCTTTCTGCTATTTCTGTTGTGAAGAATGTGCTAAGTTGAAACGAAACTCTGCATATCTGCACGCTGTGGAGCTAGGTACTTCTAGCACTACTTTCAAGTAACCTAAAGTTGGTAAGTACCAAATCTAAGTTACAAAAAATCTTTTTTCTGTCAACTTTTCTAACTAATTTAAATAATTAGTAAACTATAATAATACTAGTACATAAACAAGATTTAAAAAATAGATAAATAAGCGATCGAGAAAGATTACGAATCGCTCGGTGAACCGAGTGGCGGGGTCACCGTCCTCTGCGGTGAACACACTTGGGGGACAATTTTACAAAACTTTACTAGATACAATTAAATTTTTATTGAATTGATATTCAATAAAATAATTGAATGTCAATTCAATAAAAATTTAATTAATACAGTGAATAGCGACATCTCTCGCCAGGACTGGTAGCTGTAAGATCTAACTGGGTGATAAATCTGTCATAGATTTCTCATAGATTGCGCTACGACTAAAAAGTCGTTGAAAGACCAAGTACAAAGACACGACGCAAGCACATAGAAAAATTCGTGAGGTCCGTTGGTTCATTCCGTGGTTTAGTTGGTATAGCGTCTGGCACGGTATGCAAGAAGACGTCGGTTCGAATCCGACCGGATCGAAGGAATTTTTTCTGAGTGTTCGATCTTTGTATTAATAATTATTTACTAGATACAATTAGCCAGAATATTTTTTAAATATTTTTAAACGATTTAGCATCATTTCTATTATTAATTTCTTAATTATAGCGAGAATGCATATCAACGCCCTGCATACAATCCATTTTTTGCATTTAACTGTTTGCGCCACAGCCGTAATTGACTGTGGCGCTGACTTTTGAGATGCTTTTTTTAACTTGGATTTTTTAAATTCTTATTTTCTGTTCTTTGTTTAATGTGTTAAACACGTTGCCTAGCAGGACCATGTAAAATAAAAACTCTTGTATTTTTAAACGTTTACGTATGTACTATTTTATTTTTTTATACAAGTGTACACTTTTCACTTGAGTCTCAGAAAACTTAATGCTATTTTTGGTGGTGACACTCCACTTTACTATCGCCATTTTAACTAGTCTATGATTGGTTAGTTTACAGATTGGCCAAAACCAGGTACTGCCACCAACAATAGATTTACCAACTGTATCTTATTAAAATCAATCGAGTTACTTAATAATACTATACATTCTTTTGACAATTTACAATGAAACTACGGAATGCAGTACCTTGATCATCGAGTATATAACCAGAAATAGAGACGAAATGTCAGTTAATTTGTTTGAAAACTATTCTGCCATATCATTGCGGTGACAACTGCGCTCCGATTGGCCAGCCCGAATTCGAAACAATTGACGGGTGTCGTCAATTGTTTCACTTCAAATCGACCAGTTAAATTGAGCTTTTCTATAATGGACGAAACTTGCAAAATGACATATTTAATATTTAATTACCGATGAAATTTGATTCCGTTTGTTTCGTAATTAGATGTTTTGCTGTTTTCCCCCACACCACTGAATGGAACAGCACGCCATTGTTAGAGATATTTTCTGTATTACAACACTTACAGAACATTTTTGGAATATATGGAGACGTAAACACAGGTCAGTCGTTGGCAGCTGTCTATATTTCAGTGCAAACGAGAGTTGATATTTATAAGGATGTATCACTGATAGTTACCTTGAATGTATGGCCCTTAATTCGTCTCTATTTCTGGTTATATACTCGATGACCTTAATTGAAATTTTTAAAATTATGTATTTTGCGTGTCAAATAAAACCGGTTTTAACTTATTTTTTATTTATTGTGTCTAAAAAGTAAACACACACTTTTTGATTTTCTTTCCTAATTTTTTTTTTTTTAACACACACACTCAACATAGCCTTGCACTAGGGAAACCCTGTGTCGCGGGTGCCATGGACACACACATAGACAACTACAAATTACACCCAAACTCACGAGAGAAATAATTGTAGGCCATACAACTATTTCTCTCGGCCCGGGAATCGAACCTGGGACCTCTGCGTGGCAGTCCGGCATGGTAACCGTTCGGCCACGGAGGCAGTTAATGACCTAAGGATGAACCGTAAAAGTGCAGTTAGACTAGTAATGTGCCCAGAAGATACGTCCTTCGCAAACGTTTAATGCACTTACCTTAAAACAAACTCTACACTGGTATTTAATTCGTTTGAGATGATCCCAGTCGATATGGTCCACCATACACCATTTTGTGGCGAATTTCTTCCCGCAATAGCTGCATTCGTGGCTAAAACAAATGAAATGGATTATTCAAAGAAGTCGCCATAGTTCAAAATATCTTTTTACTTTCATATCTACACCAGTAATTAAATTACGTTAACTTAAAAATTGCAACTTTTCACCACAGCCTATAAAAGGGCTTTCAAAATCAAAAATAATTTATTCCATAGGTCAGTTTTTTACACTTGAAAACGTAATTTATTACGCTACAGCTCGTTCACTAAGCTAACCTCCCTGACAAGAACGAGCAAGAAACTCTAGGGATTGCTCTTTTCAAATAAACTTAAATGCTTAAGTGGGAGCAGAGGAAAAATTCCTAATCTTCGGTTTGAATTTAGAGGGGTATATCCACTTTAAAGTTAAAAATAAAATATTGTATGAGTAACTACACGATATATTCAAGCATAGACATTAATCAGAAACATAAAACAATAAAGTTTCCTCGATAGATAAAAATGGCGAAATGACCTCTCATTTTCACATTTTTTTGATTTATCCTCGAAATGCTACAGGTTATTACGACAAAACTTAGATAATTAATTATATTTATGCATGATCGACAACTGTCACTACGGATTTTTTTTTAATCCCTTTAGTTTTAGAGTTATTCCGCTAAAACGAATTTGCTACTTTAATGCGCAAAATTCAAAATCTCCTGTCGCATGTCACGCGAACTTCAGGCATATATTTGTGTCACAAATTTGTGCGGAGCCAACGTCAACACTTTCTTGGCTTGAGAGCTCTTAAATGGAATCTATACTCTTGTTGTGTTTCCATACATCTTTATCTAAGACATACTCTTAAATTTCGTAACATGACTTTTCAATTAAAATACTTTTAATGATTATTAATTTTGTATTATTTTCTTAATTATGAATTTAAATTAAATGCATAATTTGGCATAAAAAATGCAAACTCGACACAATTCGAGATAAACTAGTGTTAACTGTTTGTGCCGATATAATATTATAATTTTGGTTTGGACATTTTCTGATACTTGTCGGATATCTTTCAGATTTGTTTATTTCAAGCAATTATATATCATTACATTAAATTACCAATGTACTGTGAAATTCATAACCAGATAATATTAAGAGTAATTTACACAAGACGCATCCATTCACTCACAAAACCTCAAACATGCACCACATGGGTAGACATGTTTTGAACATTTGTTGGACATTTTCCAGATATCTTTTGGACATATTCAGTAGCAGTAGAACCCCTTGTGAAAGGTTCGTCCAGGGAAATACTGCCATCTTATCTATTTCTGCCACCAAGCAATAATGTGAGCATTATGATTTTACAGGCACATGGGACTTGTCGACTTATGTCTCAGGGTGACAGGCGCAGTGGCAATGCCCTTTGAGCGGCACAGCAACTGTTATGGACAGGCGTGTCGCTTACCAACAGGGGCATAAATTGTTCGTCAATTAGCATCATAGACAAAAATATAACGAAAAAACATTTCAAATATTATTTAAGTGGTGCACGCCTCCGCAAAGACCCGTCACCTTCAGACATAAGTTGACAAGTCCCATGTGCCTGTAATTGCACCAGCACCCTTACCCTTCAAAACCGGAACACTGTAATGCTGACATTACTGCTTGGTGGCAGAAATAAGTAAGGTGGCAGTACTACCCTGGATGAATTCTTTTACAATACTTACCCATAGGCATCTTCCGGCACATGTTTCTTGCTCAGTCTCATATGGTTATTGTAACAGTCTCGGCTACTAAAGGTCTTTCCACACTCGCGGCATTCGTGCGTATTGCCCGCGTCGCGCTCGCGGTGGTTCCGTGTATGACGAGCGAGGTTACGCTTCCATTGGAAGAGTTTGCCGCAAATAGGGCATGGGTACGTTAGACCATCGTGAATAACACTGGAAAAAAAAAGAAAAATTTACCTGTAGTCAAAATTCTTTATTCCATAGGTAAATTAGATTTACATTTGAAATAGTTATTTGTTATCCAAGTTATTTGTATTGAAGCCTGAGCAAGCGAAGAAAGTTAAGATTCCTGAGCGTAGCGAGGGTTTCAAGTCATGAGACTTTTTTTTTCACCGAAATAAAAAGTTAGATGCACCACAGATTTCTAGTGAGAAAGAAAGCCTTTCCGAGCTAGTGAGGTGAAAACGTCATTTTATAAGCTACTGCTCGACCAAAACCAAATACAAAGATACGTCATAAGCTCATAGAAAGATTCGTGAGGTCCGCTGGTTCGTTCGGTGGCTTAGTTGGTATAGCGTCTGCCACGGTGTGCTAGAAGACGTCGCGAACGTCGGTTCGAATCCGGCTGGATTGAAGGATTATTTTCTAAGTGTTCGTTTTTTGTATTAATAATTATAACAAATAAATAAATAGGAAATGAAACTATTTTTCCGGATTTAAATCGCATATATTTGTTTTTTCAAATAAACCGACGTTTCGGGCCCTTTACAGGTCCCATGGTCACGGTTGACTTTTTTTGAAACGTCGGTTTGTTTGAAAAAACAAATATACGCGATTTAAATCCGGAAAAATAGTTTCATTTCCTATGTGTAACAATCGCGAAAACCTAAGAACTAAATAAATAAATATTTCACAACGTATGGGATCATACGTTGCTCTGATCCCAAAGTGAGTAGCTTAAGCACTTGTGTTATGGAAATCGGAAACAACGACGACCGGTGCAAAGCAAATAATACCACGTCAACTAAAACAATCGAGTATATAACCAGAAATAGAGACGAAATGTCATTTCGTCTATTCGTTTCTGATTGATTTCATATTATGTGACACTGCACATATTATTATTTATTTTTTATCAGTATTTATGTAGTTGTGTAAGATTTATATTCATTTTGAATTATTGTTACAATATATCGTACACTTTTATAGTAATGTATTATGATACTTAAATTGTTCTCCCTTTCCTTTTATTTTATTTTTATTTGTATGTTGATATACCCACATCCGTGCGATATCGACCAAGGTTGCCAACTGAAAATCAGCGCGGGGTATACTTTGCCCTGCAAATGCTGAGGTGGTGACCTATTCGACGGGGCATGCATAGTAGCATACAACGTTTATTGTTTTTTGTCAATCCTGATTTTTACTCTGTTTCTTTTTTATATTTTTATTTATTTATTTTTTTTTTTGTTTCATGTTTTTTTAACTGTTTACTTTTTTATGTATTTGCCTTCGTCGAATAAATGATTTTCTATTCTATTCTATTCTATTTCATTTGTTTGAAAACTATTCTGCCATATCATTGCGGTGACAACTGCGCTCCGATTGGCCAGAGCGAATTCGAAACAATTGACGGGTGTCGTCAATTGTTTAGCTTCAAATCGACCAGTTAACTTGAGCTTTGCCATAATGAACGACAATTGCAATATTACATATTTAATTACCGATGAAATTTGATTCCGTTTGTTTTGTAGTTAAATGTTTTGCTGTTTTTCCCACACCACCGAATAGAACAGCACGCCATTGTTAGAGATGTTATCTTTATTACAATAAATACAGAATATTTTTGGAATATACGGAGACGTACAAACAGGTCAGTTGTTGGCGGCTGTCTATATTTCAGTGCAAACGAGAATTGATGAGATACCAGAAATGTACGGCGCTTAATTCGTCTCTATTTCTGGTTATATAATCGATGACTAACAGAAGTTCAACCACAATCCGGATGAACTTAGACAAAAATTGGGTTTTAATAGGTAGCGACATTATCGCGGGCATCTACTAATTTTACAAATTTTAAAAATCTTTGTCATCCAAAGACCCTTCCTTACATTTCCACTCAACACACTGATAGCGCGTTTTAAAAACTACCAACGCCATCTAGCGGCGGTTCTGTTTACTACAAACAAGCTTTGCCGCTATTGTGTATATTCTGTTTGAGGGAATTTAGAATTCATTTAAGATAGTAAAAAAAGCTCCTAAGAGACAATTGTAAACTTTTAAGCTTATGCGAAATGTATTCCGATTTTTCGATCATAAAAACCCTTTGCTTATTGCAAAACATATTTTCAAAATGTGGGTATTTTAATATATAAATATAATAGCGTAGTTGTAATAAAGTATCATATCACGCGCAAAAATATTGAGTCACTAACTAGTGTCAGTTGTGAAGCACAACAGCTCAAAATTTGCTCTTTGCGCTAAATAATAATTATTCCGTAACGTACGTGAGTTTACAATTAATCTTTGGAGACTTATTGCTTACGTTTGATATTAAAATCGATTTAAATGCATTATGTCAGTGACCAAGCAAGGTATGTTGAGTCTCCTAACATTTTTATAAGTTTATCGATATCTGATATACGACTAATAATTTGCATTGAAACCATTTCTGGAAATTCGAAAAAGACATTAATTCAAATTTGGTGGTTTTAACAACTCTATGTCGCTCCTGACCTTTACCAACCAACTGACCAACTGACCTTTTACCAAAGCAGAGAATAAAAAATTAACGAGAATGGTCACTCTCCGCCCCTCCCTAGCTTTAGATACCGCACCGCGCCCCGAATATTGACAGTCACATTGACGGAACGGCAACAAGGCTGTCAGTTATCTACTGCATTATTTTACATGGCACCATTGGAATTACTTTAAAATCCAACTTCGCCTTCCTATGTCAATAGTTTGTCCTACGATGCAGTAAAACCATTTCCGGAAATCCGGAATTCGATAAAGTAATTAATTAATATTATTTGGTGGTTGTAACAACTGTATGTCGCTCCTTGTAGCCATGTCTATATATATGGAATACCTTTTTCCATACATTGATCATAATATACGTGTCATTCTAATTAAGCTAAATTTTAAGGGGTATGGAAATCCGAAGATTGTCGAGGGAAAATAGTTGCACTGTATAATACTTACACGTGGGCACGGTAGCTTTTCTTAGAGTAGAACACTTTATTGCACCCTTTGCAAGGTATGTACAATTTTTCTTTGGGCTTGGCCGGCTTCGCTTGAGGAGTTAACTTCGAGCTGTAACATTAAAAAATAACTATTACACGATCGATAATGCAAGAATTTAAAGTTGTAGTTTAAGTAAATTTTCATTGAATTGATATTCAATTATTTTTTGTGAAATTCATGGTGTCGCCATCTCTGACGCCCCGGGCTCGACTCACGGCCGGGGGTCGATTCAGAACCGTACGATAACTCAGTTGTCGACCGATTTCTTTTTCATTTTTATCCACAACACCAGAATCGAACGTCAAACTGTCGTATTCGAAACCGAACCGAAATGACGTCACACCCGTACCTTACTCGTGCCGTTCTCGACCGGCAAAGGCTACAAACGTTATACAGAACACTATTGTCGAATGAAAGTTACCGACCGTCCTATTGTTTACAGAGCAAGAATGTAATATGGAAATATCTTATTTTTAAAATAAAGTCTGGATTTTGTTAATTTCTTTCGTTCTGTAAAATTAAGACCCAAATGCAGACTAGCAACAACAGTTTCAAAATTACAAATGGTCAACTTGGGGCCATATTCGATGTCAATTAAAATTTATAACGCACTCCCTCACTTTTTAAAACTGATAAATAGCGTAAAAATGTTTAAAAATGAACTTAGTAAATATCTGTCTCAAAAATGCTACTATCCATTGCAAGATTTTTTTAATGACAAGGAAAATTGTTCATAACGTCATAAAAAAGGAATTTTGATATATTAACTATATTTATAAAAAATATAACATAATTATGTAATTTAATAAAATGACAAATGTTATGACTATTATTATATAATTCTAGAATAATTTGACGATAAATTTTTTGAAATACTTTAGACTTCAATTTGACGTTCATTTTCCAATTAATTCATTGACTTTTCAGAAAATATTTTGTTTAGATTTAATTATCATTATAATGATATTTTAATTAATGGTAATCAAAATGTGTATTTAAAAAATTGACATTGCTACGCCCTTGCAGGGTACATGTTTGATACTGTAAACTACTATAAGAACTATTATGTAACAACATGTTTCGCAGTAAACGTTATTATTATTATTATACATTCCCATATTTTAGGCCTTTAAAGTCTTAAAAATGTATATAAAAGGATTTTGCATTTTTCTTACAATCTATTTCACCGACTCACTCCATAAACGCTGTTGGATAACAATATCGTATCCAATCAGCATCGAGCGTTTAACTCGAATGTTTTGAATAGCTCGAAAAGCGCCCTTCGATTCGAGAACGACATCCAATTGAACGATGCGGTTAAAATATCGAAGAGTTCTGAATCGGGGTCCAGGTCAGTATAAATCAAAATCAAATCAAAAATCATTTATTCTTAGACAACTACAGTCCATATTTTACAGTTATAATATTAGCTTAGATAATTAGAATAATTAAACAAATTAAATAAAATATCAAATAAATCATCGACATGGTTTTAAATGTAGTATAGACAGCTAACTTTTCTGTATTGTCTCTGGGTGTTTATGGAGCCGTCGTTGTTTCCGATTTCCAAAACACAAGTGCTTTAGCTGCTGACTTTGGGATCAGAGCAAAGTATGGGATGTTGTGAAATATTTATTTATTTGTTATAATTATTAATACAAAAAACGAACACTTAGAAAAGAATCCTTCAATTCAGCTGGATTCGAACCGACGCCTTCCAGCAAACCGTGTCAGACGCTATGCTAACTAAGCCACGGAACGAACCAGCGGACTTCACGATTTTTCTTGTTGTTGGATCTTTGTATTTGATTTTCAACGACTTTTTAGTCGTAGCGCCATCTATGAAAGTATTTCGTCACCCAGTTAGATACCTCATCAGTGTATATACCGATATTACTTCGTATCAGATATTCACTGAGTGGATATCAACGCGAAACCATTTTTTATTTCGATTTTTTTTTTCATGTTATATTGTTATATGTATATATTGTTTCGTAATTGCCGAATCAAGCCGACCGATTACCGAGTGGATACCAACACGAAATCAAGTATTTTCCAAACTATATACCGATATTACTTCGTATCAGATATTCACTGAGTGGATATCAAAGCGAAACCCTTTTTTATTTCGATTTTTTAACCGACTTCAAAAAAGGAGGAGTTCTCAATTCGACTGTATGTTATTTTTTTGTCTTTTTTTTTGTATGTATGTTACGCGATAACTCCGGTATTTGTGAACCGATTTTCATGATTCTTTTTTTGTTGGAAAGGGGGTATTTCCATAGTGGTCCCATTTCATTTTGAAGAAAATCATCCACCTCAAAGGGTGGCTGTTCACGCAAGAAGATTCATTTTTATAAATATCGCCTAACTATAATTTAGGAGCAATTACTTTTAGCAATTATTTAGTTGATTTTGCTATTTCTCCAATTCAAGGCGTTTTTCTCTCGATATACTTTGAGTAGTGTCGTAGTGAGAACCTATTTTTATTATCTCCAGTGTCAAGTCCTGGGGAACTAGGGGATATTTCAATGAAACTTAACAAATAGACGTAATTCCACGTACTTTTGAGGTCGGTTTTTTTATTGTTTTTCATGTTTCGTAATTGTTAAATGTATGTGTGCTGTATTGTTTCTTTATGGAATAAATATTTCTTTCTTTCTTTCTTTAATTTTTTTTTTGCGTCTGTACTATACTAACATACCAATAATATATAGTTTCGAAATCTGATTCCGAATGTCACTAACGGCAATGTATCAACGCAGCGCGCACGCGGGCTGTATCCATGAATTCCCCATGTACCCATTCCTATAATCTACATGGTTTTTCTAGTAATTTCATATAAAAATCTAATAAAATATCCCCCGTTTATTACGCGAAAACATTATTTCAAAACACTGTCCGACAACTTCGTTGACGTCTCATGGCCGACTGTCGTCACGCTTTCGTCATTTTTTCTTTTTTTCGACATAATACTTCCATTTCACGCAAACAAATTAGTTGATATAATATAAATTACTTACTTGAGATGATATTTGAGAGTCATTTTATTAGCGAACACCTTCCCACAGCAATCGCACTGAGGCTTCTCCTGATGGCAGACGTTCTTGTGGTAGTTGAGCTTCGATTTGGTACTAAAATAATAATATTATTAATCTTAAAAACAGAATACAGTGTTTACAATTATTAATCCAAAGACCAAGAAAGATGCAGAAAAGAAGAGAACACTTGGAAAAAATTCCTTCGATCCGGCCGAATTCCAACCGACGCCTTCTATCTATGCCAGACGCTATACCAACTAAACCACGGAACTTGAAGTGAATTCAGAACTTTTAAACGCTCCCCTATAAACTTGGCAATTTCGACATACGATACTTTACGTAGGAGGGGTCGATTTGTCTGATGAGTTGCCAGGGATAGATGGCCCTTATTTCGTCACTATTTCTGGTTATATACTCGATGATCTAAGACGACGATTTATGTACTAACATACTCTCTCAATATGCTCTCAGAATTTTGTGAAAAAAGAACAAAATAAAAAAAGAACAGGTTCAAAAATTAAGAAAGCTTCATTGACTTACAATTATATGGACGTCGGGTCCGCGCTAAAAAGTGT